ACGGGGACGGGAAGGCCTCTCCATCTCGCACACCACCAAGGGGGCAAGGGCCGGGCGGGGGGGTCCCTGCAGGGTTCTGCCCTGGGCCACCGTGCTCCGGCACGAGGGGGTTCAGCGGTGCTGGGGACACCGAAGCTGCAGCAGAGGCAGGGAAGGAGAGCAGGTCACAACCCTTGCCTAGCTCCAAATGTGCCCTTGCCTAGCTCCAAATGTGCCCTTGAGAAAAAAAAATGTACAGCAAGCCACAAATATTTGAAAGAAAAAGACATTTCAAAAATTTCTTATAATTGTTACAGTCATTTCAGTGTTTTTAGACTTTGCCCCAGCTTAACATCTCTATGAATATCGCATAGATTCATTTTATTTTCTGAGCACAGTTTTCTAAACCTGGATTATTTTGAGGCCAGAGACTTAGCAAAGCGCTCTCGGTGATGTGAGCTGGTGTCTGTAATCACACTGTCTTCTAGTAGGCTTGCCAATAAGGAATACCTGAATTAAAGGGTCTCCCTGCGGCAGCAGCTGTTGTTGCCGGAGCAGCCGGGCATCCCGCGCAGCGTGGCTGGTGTCCCGTCAGCAATGCCAGGCAGCCCCGGGTTCTCCTCGCTGATAAGGCACATTTAGGATGGGCTCTCCTCTGCTGGGAAGGGCTCAGCCTGGGCCTCCTGGCTAACCCAGCATGAAAAACCCAAACAAAATAAGTCAGTGTTACGAGTTATCCTTTAAAGGGAGCCTTTGATACTGCTTCTATGAAGCAGTTAATGAAAATAATGAGTGTGCTGAGCAGCACCAATGGGATTGGGCCTTAAACTGAATTTGCCAACAATGAACAACTTAATCAACAGTTCCAAAAGTACTAGGAAACCAAAACTGTTTGCCAAGTTACATTTTTTGGGGCTATGTTTGTGGTTTTTTTCTTAAACCGGTATAGTACTTCAGCAAAAAGTTAAGGACTCGATGCCTGCTCAGTCAGATTCTCCACTAATTTAAGCATTTACCCTTAAGGCATGGCTTCACCTCCTCCTTCACCGCCTCCCCAGGCTCCCCTCTCGGTGGAAAACCATCCCACCAGCAAGCCTGCCTCCCCGCCAAGCCCTTCCCAATGCCTTCCATGAGTACTTGTCTGGAGAAACGGAGGCAATGCCAGGACCCACACCCAAAACCCTCCCCATGCGCTCCCCCGGCTATGCCCACGTGGGGAAGCGCAGGGAGGACCAACAGCCCTGAGGTCGCAGTGCCCTCCCGACAGACCCCCGGCTGCTTTTCTCCCTGTGCCGATGCCTGAGCCGCGACAGAGGAGACCCCGCGTCGGTGGCAGCGGCGACAAGGAGGGTGTCCCTGGTCAGCTCCCGCTGGGCTGGCACAGCTTTCTGCACCGAGCCCGGGTGCCGCCTGGGGCCTCCCGCACCCCCTGACAGGGGGCAAAGCCTCCCCTGTGTGGGACAGGATGGATCCCGCGTGGGTTCCCATTGAGCTGTCCCGGCCGGTGTGTGCCCAGCTCTTCTATCTGCCGGGAGCAAGCACCCTCCTGCTTGTCCTGCCAGTCCTTGTCACCAACCGAGCCCTGGGTGAGCCTTCCCCAGCACTTCAGACTAATGCCACCTTATCAGCCACGTCCCAGCGCCTGCAGGATCAGTGACAGCAGTGTAACCTGCGGAGGGATGCGAGGGATGCCTGCTTTCATATCCCAGCTTTGTGCACGTCCCCCTCTGACCCAAAACAAATAACTGTCCTCCCTAAGCGTTCTCTTAAGCAAGTCTTTTTCTGCCGTTTCTGTGGAAGAAAGAACAAGGCAGCCTGCAAGACTCGGAGAAAGGATCACTTACAGTGACTAAAGGCCAATTCAGAAGCCGAGAGTGGGAACGCTCCCGCCACACCACCAAACCCGGTTCTCTGACCCCGTCTCCCGGGGCGAGCAGGAGCCCTGCCCAGCCCTCCCCGCAGCCAGGCGCAGCTCCCCGCTGGTCTCCAGCCCAGACGCAAGCTTCCGCATCCCTTTGTCGATAACAGACACCTGCTCGGCCTCTTCTGGTTCCCTCCTCAACAGCCACAGTCAAGCATTACTAAGCGTTCATATCAGCAGCGACGGCAGAAGTAAAACACCACCTCCCTGGGTTTGGTCCTGGTCGTTTGCAATAGCTACCGTGGGTACTCCAGCCAGCTTGTTACTCCTTTCCAATAAATGGGATACTCAGGTGACAAAAAGTACATTTCACTGGAATCAAAGACGAGTTTAATTTTTATATTCAACATAATAAAGATGAAAAAGAAAAACATAGCGATCATTTCATATACATTCCATCTAAACAGGCTGCACACACACTCAGAAAAAACCAGAATTATTGAAGATTCAAGTATCTTTTATGCAAAAGAAAAAAGCAGGATGCTAAAAGTACCTGTTTGTGGTATGGTGTGATCAGTTTGAAACCGATAGCCAACCAATGTGTGCATTCATCATTTGGATATTTTAAGGTTTATATTTAATACACAAAACATTTATATAGAGGATATTTGTTGGAGACTGACAGTTGAATTGTGTTTCTTTTTCAAGCCTATAAAGCTACTAAGCTAATTTTACTTTTAAAAATCTATATGTAAAAACTGCTAAACAATTCTAAGGGTAATTAGAACATATAATACATCACTTATTTGATAAGTAGAGCTTAAAACATGTGGCAGTGCTATTGTAAGGGCTAGGACCTTCACAGTCTTCCTTTATCAGATGAATATCCAGTGCTGTCTTGTTACACTATTTCCTTCTAGTACAGGGATTAAAGAAAGTGATTACTGCGTAAGACAGATGCTTTTTAAAAAACAAAACAAACCGCAAAACCCAATTAAAAAAACCAAACCGAACCCCCAAGACCCCAAACATTTTCACTGATACAGCCATCCCACTCGGTTTTCAAGTGCTTCCCTTGAGCTGTGCTGCAGAGCCAGCAGCCCGGAGCCCGCAGCCGCGGGCGATGGGCAGGGTTTCACAAGCTGCCTTCTACTTCGCGCAGCCCGGTCCCTGCCCCTCTGCTCACCCCATCACCCGACGGCGGCCGCGGGGCCTCGCCGGCACGTCCCGCGGGACAAGGGAGCGTGTCGAAGGGGACGGGGAGCAAGCGGCCACCGAGCACCTCCCGTGTGCAAAGAGCGACCTCGCCGTTTGCACAAGCCTGCGGTATGAAGACATTGCAACAGGAAGAAACAAGCAGCAACGGCCACAAGACTTGAGAGCCCCAGGCGCCGCGCCAGCCGGGGGCTCGCGTGAGCCCCGGCAGCACGCGGGCAGGGTCGGCACACCAACCCTTCCGGGTTTGGCCAGGAGAGAAATCCCAGGGCAGCCCCGGTGGTTTGTGGGGTTCTGGCCTCAGAGGACAGCACTGAAAGAGCACTTGGGTTAGAATCAGACTGATTTTCCTGCCAGAGAAGATGAGAAACGCTGCAATCCAGACACTGCGGGGCAACGCAAGGAAGACGGCAATCACGCCCAAAAACTCACATAGCTCCTGTTCTCCTACGCTCCTCAGTCGCACTCCGTGAACACGAGCCAGGCATACGAGAGCAACATTTTCAGCTCATAGGTTCTCATTTAACCACTCAATGTATCTGTTCAACAGCCGGTGCCCTACAGCTAAGTCGGTTGGACCCAAGACAAACATCATCATCCCATGAAAGGCGTCCTTGGCATGATCATGCGTGACAGGAACGCCCGCTGCCCGCAGGCGCCTGGCGTACATGACTCCATCATCCCGTAAGACATCGTGCTCGCAGGTGAGGATGTAGGTACGGGGCAGCCCACGTAGCTGGGCATCGCTCACCAGCAGCGGGGCCGCCCTCGGATCCAGAAACCCCGGGTATTTCTGTGCAAGCTCAGAGCTTCCGTAGGCGGGACTGGTGTAAACATGGTCTTTCTTCAGCTCTTCAGGCAGCAAACGGCTCCAGTTTACAAACTGAAACAAGTGGCTCGATTCAGCCGGGACATGCCTGTTGGAGGCCATCGCTTCCCTGAGAGACGGATCAGAAGTGAAATATTCACTCCAGAACTTGACCATAAGTGACCTGGGTAAAATGGGCTTGTTTTCATTTTCTTGGTAAGATGGCAAATTCAGGTCAAGGGTTTGAAGAGCAGGGTAAATCAAAGCTTGGGCTTTGAGTTTAGTTTCAACTTCAGAGTCCTGTAACAGCTGTAGAAGAAAATAGAAATAGTTACAAAAAAAGTCAGTTTAAACATGTTGATTCTCTCACACTGACAGAAGATCTTAAAAGTAAGGAATTAACACACACATTTTACAATACAAGCAAAATAAAACTATCAATGAAACCAGGATAGATTAATTTAAAGAAATTCTAAATTCATAGGCAGTTCACCTAAAACAGTATGTTGTATTAAAAATTCTCAAACATCAAGTATAACTTCATTTCTTGCGTTGAAGGATAACAATATTTGGCAAACACTCTTTTTGAAGCATTGATGCTTTCCGAAGCTTAAAAATTTCTCATAGCTTAAAAATTGCTGGTTTCTGAGGGTCCTTTAATCATTTCACACAATTTAAAGCTTATCCATCTGTTTGGGTTTTTAACCCTGAGGTGTTAGAACTCAAACAACTATGATTCTGTGTATTTCAGGCATGTGAAAAATAAAATGTAATGACTCAAACACCGACATTTCGTATGTCAGCCTTTTCCCGCCTTCACTAATAAATTTCCGCCTGCTGCCTCATCCCCTGCCTTTGTCCACGGCAAATTCACAACCTTTCCAAGTGAGATTCATTACAATCCAAATAACTTCAAGAGAGCAACAGCATCGCACTGACTGTATTTAATAAACCTGAGCGAGAAGTGCAAAAGGCACTGAACTGTGCGTGACTAAATGACACTGGAACATTTAGTCTTTTTTTTTGCTGTTATTTACATCTATATAAGTCAAATTAGTGAAATTCCCTTTTCAAACAACATACCTAAAACACTCAAAATGTGCTTAAGAATAGAGTGATATATGTCCTAATTGTAGGGCAGCCAGCCTTTTTTTTAGGGTGTAAAGGTTTGGAGGACATCATAGCATCAGAGCTACTTTGATGCCATTAAAGGGCTCAAGTAAATCAGCTTGCCTAGAAGCTCCGCGCCCCGACTGGCGGGGCTCACTCAGTACAGGGACCGCGAGAGACGTTTGGGAGGTGCGCTTGCTTTGAGCAGAGGCTTTTGTTAGTCTTTTGTAAGTGTTCACGAAATAATTTTTAAAAAAAATAAAATTTTGAGCTAGCAAACCAGCTTTTTTGGTTTTTACCTGTTGTGCCACAGCTGCAGCTAGGTTGCCGCCGGCACTGTCTCCTGCAACACAGACCCGACCTGGGTCCACCCCATACTGGGAGAGGACGCTGCTCTGGAGGAAGAACTTCGTTACTGAATACACGTCTTCAAACTGAACGGGAAAACGGTATTTCGGTGCCAACCTGTAACTGTCAGAGGCAAGCAGAAGGGTGTTACTTCCTGCTGTTACTAAAGAGAAAGGCTGGCTAACATCTGCCCTCCTTGGTGAATGTGGGTTATTTTCTGTGCCTAGAGAAATGGGAACTATCTGTCTGTCCTGGAGGATCAAACGTTTATTACCCACCCAACTTCATAAAGCAGTATCCAAACTAACCACCAACCACAATTCACCACTGCGACCTCAACAGCCTTTGTTTACAAATACTTAAAGCTAGCAGGGAAGCAGACAATCAAAAAAAAATTGCAAAATTAGATCAATTGAAACAGATTCATTTTTTCCAAACCCTCATCCCCTCTAGAAGGAGAATCTCTCTTACTTGACTGATACCACGACAGCATTTAACTTGTTTGAAGTCCACCTTGTCAGATGATCATAGGATTTCATGCCTGAAATGAAACGAGTCACTCGGAATACACTCCAGTACATCTGAGAACAGACACATAGACAACAGCACGTTCCTCTTCACAGAAGCTTTCAGGTGACTTCCCAAAACCCCCGCCTGGTTTTAACAGGTGAAATACCAGCTCCCTGACCCTTTCTGTGGCAATTCCCATAAAACAAAAGGCAGCGGGTTGTCAAGATCCTCCCTCCAGACCCCTGGTACCACCGGAGGAGAGCTTACCAGCCTGTCCTAAGCACCACCCTCCACCATGGAAGTAGACCACCGCCCTTCTCAGCCCCTCGGACGCCTTTCTGGGCAGGTACAGACGGACGGCAACGTTGCTGAACTCGGTATCCATCACAGTGACGTTTTCATCGGACATGGGTGCAATGTACTCAGCAGTTGTGATCACCATCAGAGCTTCCATATAGTGCATCAGACCCAGCTTATCAGCAACTTCAGCCTAAAGCCCAAGATGAGGGAAAGCAGTATCTTAAACATTTACTCAGAGATTAAATTTCCATAAAGCCATTCGATATTCTGTACAAGTCTGTAAAGCTGCTGCAGAAGTCACTGAGCCAAATGCTGCTGACTCAGCAGAGTGCACGTCCCCGTGCCGCCCAGCCCAGGCCATAGAGCTCCCTTATCTCCCATCGCTTCCCTGGGGAGCTCTGTGATGGCGGCTGGAAGGGAGCCCGGGGGGCACCGCCACTTTTGGTTGTGGCGCGTGGAGGGCGCCCGGGGGGCCCCCGCCACTTCCCGCTGCCGAGACGACAACTGGATAACAAGGACACAACGGAGGATGTGGAAGAAAGCAGAATCAGCTGAAGCCTCCCCATACCCAGCATGAGGGTCTGCTCAGCGAGTCAGACCTCCTTGTCCTTCCAGACAGTCACCACAAAACCAAGCAATAGCCGCGCTTGTGATGAACTCCAGAAGCAAAAGCAGTCAGTGCTTTTGGGATGCCAAGGACACTGGTGGCACGAATACAAGGATATTGCAATTTGACTTCAGGCTGCACAATAATTTTTAATGATCAGTTCCATCCCAGTAGCCAAAGACCATCAGAGATGAGTACCCTTACATTATTAAAAAGAAATATTTTCTCTACTTTGAGATGTTAAAAAGGCAGAAGTATATTTTTGCCACTTTACGGCAGTCCAGCTCTGTTTAATTTCTTCAGTTTACAAGTAACAATTCCATTAGTTACACACCTCTGTGTTTCTCTGTATAACGAAGAAGCGCTCCTACTGAATAGCAGAACAAGAGTCGAGTCGTGTGTTCATTGTCCATTGCACGTGGTCAGCAGACGAGACAAAATTTCACCACCCTGCCTGTGCCGCAAAGCCTTCAGAAGCGATTTCCTGCTCCATCATCCTTGAGGAGGATCCAGCTTCGCCTGAGCCGTGCAAAGCCCTTCCTTACATTGGTTTGATATTTCACAACAAAAAGCTAAAAATAACCCTGCCACCAACGTTCCGATTTCCACCGGCCCGCTGCCCACAAGGCAGGTCCCTGTTGAAGGAACCGACCAAAGTACGGCTCTGGTGCGGCATCGCCACGGTCGCCCAGCGCTGGCTCCAGCCCGACTCTGGCCGAGGACGATCCCGGTGACTCCCTGACCTGGAGAGAGACTCCACGGGACCGGGAGGAGCGTCCCGCAGGAGGGGAAATAAGGATGGCAATAACCGGGATCTCTGTCTGCTGCTACAGGCATCAGTCCGGGGCTCTCAAAAAACACCCATAGGGTTAACTTTTTTAAAGGTTCTTTTTCCCAGAAATCTTGGATGTACCCCAGTTGTACAGCAGCACTGGAGGCCCAGCCCCGTGCAGCCCTCGGAGGGGAGAGAGCAGGGGAGGCCATCGGTGCCTCGAGCATCGTCGGTGCCCGGCAGAGCTACCCAAAGGGCAAGGAAAAAAAAACTTTCCCAAAGGGATCCACAGAAATTCCCTGACAGAAAAGTGATGTGCTTCAGGGAGTTCAGCACCAAGGGATTGCCAACTTTTAATGCCGTTAAAGCAGCTTCCTTTGAAATTCATGTTTTAAATGTTTATTATGAAATTCTATGGTTCTAAATTAGTTTACAGTTATTCTAAGATGCTAGATAAAATGAAAACAAAAAAAAAAATCAAACCCTAGCAAGTAAACCTGTAGCTAAAATGCAAGCACCAAAGATTAATATTTGGCAGCTTTGGCTTTCTGGCATCATGACAATTTACGCAGACGAAAGCATTTCAGAATCCCTTTCACCCACAGGTTATTTTAAACCTTGAACATAAAACTTTAAAAAAATTGTGTTAGCTTTCATTATACTGAGTCCTTGGTAGGCAGGAGTGAACCCAAGCAAAAACATTTCTAAAGGCATTTGCTATGGGCTGTGCTAGAAACGCAGATCCCAAGGGCTCCCTCCAAACCCAGCAGCTCCCCAAAGGAGGCATTGCGTTTCCTCGCCGCTGCCCACGGGGCAATCGCGACAAGTAAAGACATGACCAGTGTTTGCTTGTACATAAATATCATGGGCTTGTTTTCCCTTTTTTCCCCCCCTCTTCCATTGGATTAAGTTGCGGTTAAGGAAACGTACTTCTCACATTGCTTTTAAGGTATTAGAAATGTGTTCTAGAAAACACTTTAAAAAAAAATCTGTAATAGACAGCAAATTGATGTAAAAGAGTAACGCCACAATGACTGGAAGGAAAATAAAGCCTTTGTTTTCTATACTGTGAAAGACACTGTAAATAACTATTTAAACAAAAATTTAGCCACATTAGAGACTGAGCGTGAGTAGAACACGACCTGTCACGTGAAATGCCGGCAACACGAGGGACCCCTCTCAGGTGCAGCCTCCTCAAACCGCGGAAAGCTGTGGCAGTGGGCTGCTGGAGCTCCTTGCAGCCAGAAGGGAAAAATAGCACGGACTGCTTCATGATTTGGGAGCATTATGTGATCTAGTTCCTAATGATACACCAAGGAATAGCTTGGGGGGGTGGGGGTAGTTGGTTTGGGTTTTTGATGAAGGAAAGGTATGAAGACAACAGCTTCAAATTTGCTCAAAAGCCATTTGCTACCTGACTTGCTGAAAGTGAACGAAGAACTTGGATTTCTCATTCGTGTCAAGCAAAATTGGAAGAAATTTCAATCTAATTTGCACGTATATTTTCAGTTTAGTGCGCACCGCCCTTGTGCATATTCTAGTTAAACACTAAAAAAAAAGAGCTGACACTGATAAAAAAAGCACTTGTCTAAATTTCAGGTCACTGGACAATTCTTTGGACAGGCATAAACAATCCTGTAATTGCACTGAGATGACTTTGATCTGAACGCTTGGTTTGGAAGATAACCGAATTAACAACAAGCCTCAGTTTATTAATCCGATTGGAACTTTTTAGTACAACAAACACTCCCATGACAGTTGCCAGCACTGCGTTATCGATCGGTCAGACAGGAAAGCGCGTTGCGAAACGCCCGAGGTTGCCATCAGGGTCGTCCGTCAGGGCGTGCGGGCACGCACACGCTCAGCATTTTGTGGGGGTCATTCCCCCAGCCTGGGCTCCGGGTCCGCGCCCTGCCTGCG